CGAGGCGCCCCCGCCCAGCCCTTTGCCCTTCCTCGCCCCCCTACGCTATTTCGCCCCAAACACTCCCCAAGCAAATCCAAACCGCGGAGGGGTTTTGTCCCAAAGGGCAGAGGGGCCGGCGGTGGCAGAGGGCGGGGGGCTGGCAGCACTCCCCTGGAGAGCCCTAGGCGAGGGTGGAGCTGGAAAGGAAACTACATTAATAACTACAGGCAAAGGGAAATAAAATCAACAGCAGCCCTGCCACGTAAGGCTCTTTCTTGGCCACATCACCCCGTGCCTAACAAGAGAGCCAAGTATCACAGCTGGGTGTTGCAGGCAAGGAAACTGAGGCAGGATTGGGCAAGCTGACTTGCTTACCTGGCAGGTCCGTAGCCGAAACAAGGTCCCCCACGGGTTTCTTCCACGAGTTTGCCCCAGCCATGGAAAGGCAAATGCTACCCAGCAGCCCCCTTCAACACCCGCTTGTTTCTGGAGGCCGCTCTGGTTCGCACAAGTCCACCACACCCCTTCACGGAGATCTCATTCACGTCACACATCACCACTCCCGCCCATGAGGTTCATGTGGTATCACTGCATGAGGTGCAAAGCAATGAAGGGGAAGAAAAAAAAAAAAAAAAAAAAAGCTTAGTGATGGAACCTATTTACATTCCATACCTATCATCCTGATCAACAGAAATTGCACATTATCTAAGAGCATAGCTGACGTAGTGAGGCTTACATCATATCATCTCCTGAAACTTGGTGGTGCAAGCGTGCTATGTCATTGCAAAATAGAAATTATCGTGCACACGTGGTAAGGCTTTGTCATAGCGCAAAGAATCATTCCACAAACCACTGAATGAAAACGCGGGGAAAACATTCTAGAAGCCTTTGCTCCAATTCTTTCAACCAGATGGGGAGAGGAGGAATTCACACGCACGCACAGTCCCACATGGATCCAACAAGCTCAGGAGCAAGGAGCTACACATCAGTAAGATTATTGCTGGGACATGTGAGCAATTTTATAGGATCAAAGAAAACCAAAATTGGCAAAGCTTTATTTTGCCTCCTGACTTAAAGATCATGTTTGAATGACCAGTTCCTAATGTTCCAGCACAGCCTCAATGACACCACCAGTTTACTGTGGTCAATATTATACCAAGAAGTATGCAGCGACTCCTAAAGCGCATATAACTTCCCACAGCTTTCAAAGTTTTGCTAAATGCCAAGCAGGCCAGTTTTACTCAGCTCACGCAATCAAAAATGTAAGGGGAAGTTGGCCGAGAACAGAAAACTAATCAAAAACCCAAACTGAAAACAGAGAAGAAAGAAAACTTGCGCCACTAATATTTTTGTCATCCTGTCGTCTGAGCCAAGGAAGGTATCAGACTCGGATAATTAGGTAAGTTTGGAACAAGAACAACAGAGTCTTTAAAATACTTTTCTGTTAGATCTGTGATCGCACAAAATGTGCATCAAAAATAGTTCTGTGCATGTTTTGTCAAAGACTATAGCCAAGAGGGGAAAAAGCTGCAAACGTGCCCAAGGGCAAGCTAATAAGGAAGGCTGCTGATTTTTTGGAGTAGCAAAAAGAGTAGCTTGTGTGTGTGTGTCTGCCAAAATAAAATGTAATGGTGTTCCTTGGGTGCAACTGGAGGAAGATGGAAGAGAGAAAAATTAAATTCTTGTACCCGGTATCCACCAAAACAAGAAGAGCTTGCCGTGAGTTAGTGGCAATAAGAAGATAAATCAATTCTCTATTACAAGACTACCCAAATATGGACAATTTTTCTCTTGGACACCACGTAACTGTATTAAATAAACATTAAGGTGTCTTTGGTGATAACTGCGGTAGCTGCCTTGGAACGTGCCAGTTGCCAGGACTATGCATGGCCTTTTATCCCATCAGGACCATGTCGCTGCTTATATTTGCCCTTCAACGGTGCATATGCAACAGGGAGCAAACCAGTCCGTGTTCACTGTGCACCATGGTGGGAAAGTAATGGAATGATGGGACTAGAATAAAAAGATTATTAAGGAGATGCTGACAGAGCTGGAAAAAAAAAAAAAATCTTGTTCTGTAACAGTTATTGGGTTTGCTTGTTCGCTGAAGATGTGCCACTGCAAAAAGATATTCAGAATGAGAAGCTGCACCTGGTTTCTAGTTCCTGTGAAGGCCAGTGGATGTGGTGATTCATTACTACTCCTCAGCCCCTGTAAATGCTTTCCTGGTCTGATCTATTTGTGGTCCTCTTTCCTCTATTTGATATATTCATAGTAAACTGAAACTTTTTTTCTGGAACACTCATTTATAGCAAACAGACAAGAAACCAGAACTTGTCCCATCTTTATCTTATACCTGAAACAATGCACCTACTGAGTAGCATTCACGTTCTCTTCATGTTTTTAGCAAATGCTAGTGCTTATTTTACTTATTAAAAAAATAGCTTTTAAGAATTCCCATAGTCAATTTATTACACTATATGGGCATACTATGTCTGAAAAAAAACCCCTGTAAAACAGAGAGCTATCCCGTGCTGTGGTCAGGCCTCCCATCTGATGGCTTATTGGAGATATTTCTCAGCTAACTAAACATTCCCTGCTGTGTGCTGTCTTCTTTCCAAAGCGAGTATGCCTCACACTTCCTAAAGTGGAGTTGCAAAAAGAATCCTCACCACGTGAATGAAAGGGAAGCGATGGGAGAAATCAGCCCAAATTTGGCGTGAGCCACTGCGAGGCCGGTGGTGGGATGCTATCTGAGGCCACAGCATGCTCAGAACATCACAGCTGCTATCTGAGGCCACACAATGTCAAAACTCTTTGCTACTTCACAGCTGACCAAGAAAGGAAAGGGAAGGGAAGACAACACTGGGCAGATCCTCTGGAGAATAACTTTACAGGCTGAGGCGAAGAGAGGAGAGGACATGAGAGTTTGGAAGCGTCACCAAAACCCTTAGTGAAGCCAGAAAAATATCACCGTAAAACATGAGGGGAGTCAATGTGAGGATATCTTATGAACGTATCCAATGCAGTCTGAAGCCATCAAGAGCCAAGATATTCGTTATTATCACATTAACTCATTAAGTATAGGTCTTAAACACTAATTAAATCCCACTGTAAAACACACCATCAAAACACAAATGCACAGCTAAAACCACAGCCCACAAACATTTAAACAGGAGACATTTGCGTGTGTATACCTAAACAAGATTCCTTATTACCTTTCCAGGAATACTCACAAGGAGCCGCTGTACACCTTCCCTTCAAGCACGCAAATGTTTTTCTTCTAGATTGTATTAAAGATAGCATTATCATAAAATAGTTTGGGTTGGGAGGGATCTTAATGATCATCTAGTTCCACCCCCCCTGCCATGGGCAGGGACACCTTCCGCTAGACCAGGTTGCTCAAAGCCCCATCCAACCTGGCCATGACCACTTCCAGGGAGGGGACATCCACAACTTCTCTGGGCAACATGTGCCAGTGCCTCACAGCAAAGAATTTCTTAACATCTAATATAAGTCTACCCTCTTCCAGTTTAAAGCCATCACCCCTTGTCCTAACACTAAATACCCATGTAAAAAGTCCCTCTCTGGCTTTCTTGTAGGCCCTCTTCAGGTACTGGAAGGCTGCTATAAAGTCTCTTCTCCAGGCTGAACCACCCCAACTCTCTCAGCCTGTCTTTCATAGAAGTGCTCCAACCGTCCAGTCATCTTCATGGCACTTCTCTGGACTTGCTCTAACAGGTCCACATCCTTCTTACGTTAGAAGCCTTAGAACCGAACGCAGTACTGCAGGTGGGGGGAATCACCTCCCTTGACCTGCTGGTCACACTTCTTTTGATGCAGCCCAGGGTACGGTTGGCTTTCTGGACTGCAAGAACACATTGCCAGCTCATGTTGAGCTTCTCATCAATTCTTATGAATTCTTTTGAGAGAAGAAAAGAGAAAAATACTTAATAGAGAACCACAGTTGGCATTATCAAATCCTACTCATTTTTGTGTGGATGCCTCATTTTCTCATAAGGGAAAGGAAAGCTCTCTCCCTCAGCAAAGAAAAATGCAACTTTCCTCCTTTGCCCTGATTTTTTTCCCCCTGTAGTCTGCTGAAAGAAAAAGCGATTTCATCACCCTTTATCAAAACCTGGCCACTGTGAGGCTGTTTAAGATACTGCTTTTAGCTGCATTCCTAGTCATAGGTTCAGCTGTAACCCTTCAGAACTGCAGCAAGTGAAACATTAGTGTTCAGCCCACCCCTCTGCGTGGCCTGTTTCCAGCAGCACACCTTCAGGGTTATGTGATGTGGAAGAGACTTGAGGGTCCAGGGGCACAAGGAGATGCATTCACAGAAGAAAACAGCCCTTCCACGTATGTTAAAAAACTCTTTCACCTGACCTCTTAGATAGTGTATCCAGTAACACAAGTCTTCGGAGCTCAATCAAATAAAAAGCATTCGAGCGATTCCTCCTCGTGTCTCTTGTCTCACCTACGGGTAGAAGGTGTTCACTGAAAACACCACCAGAAGCTTTGAAGATCCTCTTATAATTCTGAGCGATTCTGTTTGTACGCACCTATTCACCACCAACTTCACTGACTTGTTTACAGAAGTTTGCTTAATAGGTTGCTTTTGACATTTGTTAGCCTAGGGCACAAACCCTCAGGTATGCAATTGATAAAGGCTCTTCAAAAAACCCAAGGTGAAATCTCATGCGAGATTTAAGTGTTGTGTTTTATTTCTTTTATTCCAGAGTTGGACAATTGGGTCCCAGGAGTCCAGATGACCCCAACACAGAAAATTACAAGTCTCTAAGATGCAGCTCACTTTCTTTGCAGCTGAGCACCTGGTTTACAGGCCGAATTTGGAGCAGGACCAAGGGTGTACTCGCTCTCCAGGTCTGCGAGCTTTAAGCCGTTCCCAGATTGCAAACCAAGCTAGCTGCCAGGTTTAAGTCATTCTGTGCAACTACACAAATAAATGTACTGAAGGCCTTAGCTCTCATAGCCTTAGAGACTTAAGCATGTCAGTAGTCTGGGATTAAGGCATGAATGATGACAATTAGTTATGGTTTGACTACTCACTTTCAACTCCAGCAGATTACCCTGAAAAAACACATATTTTCATCCCACTTAATATCATTATGACTCACCTTGTAGGCTAAACATGTTACATGTTGTTTAGAGCTGGAGTCTCTGAAGTGTCACTGACAATTTTTTGTCTGAACAGAGGAAATGTCGCATGGTGAAACCTGAGCTTAAACTTCAAAGAAATGAAACCATCACAACCTCAAGTTTCCTCTTCTCTCTTTTTCAATCACATGCCCATGTTCGTCTGCAACTCAACCCTTTCAAGCCATTCAGCACTGACTGCATTTTGATCAGCTGTTGCCCAGTGAGAAAGAATGAAGATGCAAGACAACCATTTCAACCTTTTGGGATTTACTAATAGCTTTTAAAAATTATTTAAGC